TAGAACAAAGACTACCGCCAGGAAAGGCAACCGGCCAGAATCAGGCAGGTGTAGGTAGGATATGATGAAGGAGCTGTTAGAAAGTTTCTCCAAAAAGTTTCCACGATTAAGACGTCCGTTCACGCTCTATTGCTTTTAAAATATTTACAAATACACACTCGTATGTAAACATTTATGGCATGTGTTTTTGTGTGTGAAATTTTGTTAGCTGTTTACGCGTGTACTTTTCCTTCGTTCTGCATACATACCCGGCAGAGAAAAGCCAAATTAGTTAGTAAAAATAACAGTTCATTAACTGGTAGGAGCCAATGCGGTGGCCTACCATATCGACAATTTCGAACAACTTATGCCATCAGCGATATATGCTTTAGAATTATCAAAGCCAAAACTCAAAATTTAAATGTAAACAACGAATTTGTGCATCTAAATTAATTTTCGAAAAAAAATAAAATTAAGGAAAAATCCTAAATGCAATTTTGCATTTTTCAATAATTAAATTAAAAACTACAACAAAAAAGACAGATTTACATTAAAAAAGAAAAAAAATGTTTCCAATGCACGACGATTTGAACTCGGATCTCTGGAATTGTGACTGTTGAATAAAGGCTTTATTTAAATTCTATAAATTTTTCTTTTATTTCTACTGGTGACATTTTATTGCAATTTTCATGAAACCATTTTTTGTTTTAAATGTTGGGGATATTTGCTCAAAAGATTTTTCTTTAGCTAGAATTTTACGGGTATAAAGTTCTTCTCATTCTTGATAAATTAGTTTGTTTTCAGATTCTATTATAGCATCTTTAGTAGACTGTGTAATTTAATTTTTTTTTTTTCACAATTGAGTAGAACAGTGGAAGCTGTTTTAAATATTGAATTCATATTTTATTACGTATGCACGCATCTCTGCCAGCTTTTCTACTACCTTTTTAAAAAAGGGGTACAAAGTATTTCCTCTTCCTCTATACTTTTCAAATGCGACCTTACAGGGTAGTCAGAAAACGCAAATTATTCAATTTAATAATTGAATCACGCCTGCTATTTACTAGTATTTCTACAGCTAGCTGCTGATGCATAGCCGGACAATTGTCACTTTTGATGACCTCGCCATGTTGAAAATATCAGTTGCCAGTATGGGAAACAGATGGTAGACGCACTACTGATTGAGCTGAAAAGCTAAGTGGTAATATTCTTGTTCACAACTAGTAGCTTTCCCTGCAGGGGGTGGAAATTGATTTTCAGCTAGACACAATATGGGGTTTCCCGCCAACTTTGCTGTATATTCTACATACATACATTAAGATGCCTAGCGCTCTATTTATGTATTTATGTACAATAAAAAATAAGGTTACCTTTTTCAATCGAATTACATGAATTAGCCTACATATTTGAGAGCGTTTTTTCAGGTAGCTTTTAAAATTTAACAGCCCTCGAATTAAAAAAAAAAACTCTTAATGACTTTCATTTCCAAACCGTCATTTAAAACCATCTATTTTCATACAAAATTATGACTGCAAATTTTGTAATTCTCTTGGAAGGGATAACTGTTTTTTGGTGAGTCAGCTTAATGCTCAAAAATATGTGCATAAATATTTTTAGCATGCTTTAAAATAAATTTGAAGGGGATTAAAGTTATGCCATGCTTGGGTAAACTTTATATACATACATACATAAGTATTACGAGAATTGAATTTGAGGAATTTTAAAGTTTTTGTCAAACATTTGCTCATCGTGGGCGAAAAACTTTATTTTTAGATTTATTGAATTGGTTTGAATATTGGCATGTAACTACCTACATACATATGTACTATTTATATATTAAAATAGTATTCATAACTGAAAATTGTGCTATAAATAAACATTTCTTTGTTTAGTAACTTTGAGCAAGTTGAATTACTTATCATGGTTATCCACTTATTCAATGCATTTAACCTTATGTGTCCAGAAGGATATTCAGATTTTATTTGAATGCATACCTTTCTACGTGGTGTTGAATGTTTTAGTTTTATATAAAAGAATTAAACTCGTGTGGAAGCAATTTAAGAAAGCCAGGAAGCCAAGAAATTTGTGTCTGGGACAACTATACCGCTAGCCTAATCAAATATAAAAAGGTAAGGAAGACGAAGGGGAAATGCTTCAGCAGCTTTCGTAAGATTCTAACATTTACTGCTGTAGCGGTAAGACTTCATAAACTCTAGCAAAGGTTAAGATAGAGACCCTCACTTATCAAATTATAACTTGCCACACGCACGTTACCACACCAAACGATCCCTCATAAACTTCACCACAGAGAAAGTTGCGGAAAAGAGAAAACGCTATCATAATGAACCCTCAGCGATCAGCTACACCTGACTCAACACCAATGGGATGTATAGAGTGAATCAAGGGTGATGCAGATCTTTGGGCGCAGTTATTAACGATATGTAAATGTTTATTTATTTTTTTATTTTTTCAGAAAAGTGCAAACTCAAAGCTCTCAAAGTTTTCCATGTATTTTATGTGAGCAAAAAAAAAACAATGTTTCGTAGAAATAGTACAGAATGCTTGAAAATCAATATTTTTCGATCGGAAAACTTTGTTTCTCTTCAGAAAACTTCCAACAATAATACCCAATAGTTTATTTAACCATCTTCTAATATTAAAGAATTTTAATGGGTCTCCCCATTGCATTTTTTTGCGGTTTTTGGGGACCTATACAAAATTGTTACTAATAAAAAATGCTTTAATAAACAATTGGATATTGTTATTTGAAGTCCCCTGAAGAGGAGCAGAGTTTTATGAGAGAAATATTGATTTTCGAGAATTCCTACGAAACATAGCGTTTTCCCATAAAAAATACATGGAAAACTTTGAGCGCTTTGAGCGACTTCTAAATATTTATTGATTTCAATTTAAAAAAAAAAAAAAAATTTTTCTGATATAGAACAATCCTACGGGATGAGAACATTAAAATTCCGACTTAACTTTTTTTGGATTAGACCACCCTAATGTACATGCTATGCTTTGTCAACGGTCTGCTAATTATCTTTACCAAATGAAGTATTCTATTCTACTCGTATAGCAAACGAAATGAAGAAATTGAGATGAAAATAAATTGTATTTAGTAGTATTTTGCAATTTAAGAAAACCAGATTATTGATAAATTATATTTGCTCTTAATTTTTTGGTCACAAAATTTTGGCTATTATTTTTAAAAACACATATGAATTTATATCAGTTATCAAATGTTAAATACACCTCAAATATCCTCCTTGAAATATTTTGCCAAACACTCATTTAAGAAACCTAATAAAAGGTGTAAAATTCTTCAGGTGATGCGCCTACACAGTGATGGCGCGCCTGGTGAAAGACCTCAGGCATTGCCATATGTGCAATTAACTACAAGCATGAGTATGTGTACGTACACTTACATACTTACCTACATATACATATGCATGTGCTTGTGCGACGGGTCACACTATTAGGGATTCCATGCCATCACAAACACTTCACTGCACACACGGGGATAACAACTAAATATTTAGGTGACAAACACTTGTGATACATAAGTCAATGAAATCGACAAATAAATCCATATAAGTATGTTGTAAATGTGTGGGAAAACTTATACAGCGACACAACACACATACATATTTATGCTTAAATGAATGTAAGCACATACATATTTACCTACGTATGTAGAAATAAAATTGCCATGTCTGTTTGTGATATTCGATTTATTACCATGTGAGGTTTTCCTTTCTTGTACATACTATGTATTTATACATCATAAAAGAAAATAGCAAAAATGTAGTCGTTCTTTGAACTTTTGTTTCTCAAATTTCGACCAGTTTGTTATAGAGGTTTTTTTGTTTTTAGCGATTTGCTCTAACGCCCGGTTAAGGTAAATGTGAACCTTAAACCATAGATATAAGACTGCAAATGTATATACATATGTAGTGTACATACATAAGAAGAATTTAATCAGCTGCTTTTGTTGATGAACAATTTTTAATCGGGTTGCCAAAGTGAAGAATTTAATTTTATTAGTTGAATATTGAAAGCAAGATTTGCTGGTAGCAGTTTAAAACGAAACCAATTTAAAACTATTTCTTTCTCAACAAAAGTTTTTAGGCTTGCCACTCATTTTATAAAACAAAATTAATACCTAAATGTATAAATCTGAGGTAAGTAGATTTTAAGGCTATTATATTGCAAATATTTCATTCGATACATTCTTTGATTGTAAAAAAACACTTTTTTTCGTTGGGATTGCCAAGTTGGTATTTTAATACAAAAAATAAAGTACTTTTTAATTGTAAAGTGGGCATTTGGGCATATTAGCATACACAGAAAAAAAAAGCTGGTAATATCAACCAAAATATGGGTTGATT